GCTGCGGCGCGTGCGCGAGCGGTGCAGCACCGGCCGCGGGAGCAGGGAGTATTATGGGCTGTGGGTGCCGCTGAGCAAGATGGAGCTGTCTGCAGTGGGCGAGCGGGTCTTCGCGGCCGAATCCATCATCAAACGGCGGATCCGAAAGGTGAGCCGCCTCCCGGGGCGGGACGCCTCGCCCGGCAGCCGGTGCCCCATTCCGCGGGCCATTGGGACGAAGCGGTCCAGCTAACCCGGGCTCTCTCGACCACCCCCGCGCCGTCGCTTCCTCGCGTCCCCGCATCCTCCCCACCCCCACTCCTCCCTTTTTTCTTCTCTGTTTTTTCAGGGACGCATCGAGTACCTGGTGAAATGGAAAGGGTGGGCTATCAAGTGAGTGTCACGGGGTCCAGGAGGAGGGGGAAGGGGAGGCAGCGGACACCGGGGCCTTTTTTTTCCCTGGGGGGTGCGCACATTTGCTCCCTTCCATGTGCCTTTGCTTCTCTGGTTTTCTTTTTTATTTTGTGCATGTGTAACTCGGCAGGTACAGCACTTGGGAGCCCGAGGAGAACATCCTGGACTCGCGGCTCATTGCAGCCTTCGAGCAGAAGTGAGTTTGGGAAGCTGGCAGGGGCGGCGGGGCCGAGGTTCGGCTGGGGCGCCGCGCGGGGAAGTGGGAGAGCCGGGGAGGGCAGCGCGGAGTGGGGCCCGGGAAGGGGCTCTTTTTAATCTTTGGCTTTTCTCGGCCGCAGGGAGAGGGAGCGTGAGCTGTATGGGCCCAAGAAGAGGGGACCCAAACCCAAAACTTTCCTCCTGAAGGTAACCTGGCCCAGCCCCAGCAGCCCCCTCTCGGGCCCCTAGCCCGGGCGCAACACGGGGCCTGCAAGGGAGGGACAGATCCTCGAGCGCCCAGGCGGGCGGGCCTTTCCAGAGGGGCCCCCAGCTGGGCAGGGGGTGGTTGTGAGCCCCCGACGAGCCTCTGGCAGCTGGCCCTGGCCAGCTCCAGCTTCAGCAAGAGGGGCCTGGGAATGGGGGGGGGGCGAGGGGGGAGGATGATCTTGCTGACAAAACCTGTGTCTGGGGATGCCAGCAGGAAGCTGGTGGCTAAGGCAGGTGGGGGCTGCCCACCTGAGGGGATGGCAGGGAGGTTGATCCTGCACGTGAGAGCCCTCATCTCTCCCAGCTTTGAGCCGGTAGGGCTCTGCCTGAAATTGGAACCCAGGGGAAGAGTGAACGTGGTCTCCCTCATGGCAGAGAGCAGGGAGAGGCATTGGGGAGGCGAGTATCTGCCTCCCTGCTCCCACTGTCCTCTTTCTTTTAGGATTTGTTCTGCATGCGTCCCTTCCTGACAGAGGGATCCAACATGAATTTGATTTTAAATCACTTCACTTTTGAGTTTTATCACCAGGCTAAGCCACTGGCTTTAGGGTTTGAGCCTGTTTCCCCCACTTCTGGACGTTCTCATGAGGGTGGGAGTTGGGGAATAAAGGCATAGCACATTATCCTCGGCAAGGGAGGAAGACCTAGCTCCAGAGGAAGCCATCTTAGAGTGTTTTGGTGTTTATTTTTTTGGTGAGAACTAACAGTGTGTGGGACAGGGAAGGCAAGATGACCCAAGGTGGCAGGCAAGGCTGCAGGTGGGCCTCCCTGGGCAACTACAGTCTCCCCACCAGTCCCACTAGTCCTGAGGTCTCAGGGCTCCTTCCCACCCCAAGAGCCTGTGACTGTGACTGTGGCATGGGAAGGGCAGGGAGGACTCTACAGAGAAGAGACTGGGCAGAATGCAGAACCTCAGAGTCTCCAGTTTGTCCAAAAGGCAGAAAGCCCAATGCAGGAGGGGCCTTTCTAGCCCCCTCATCCCCCAAAAGGATGGTGCATGTGTTAAGGTTTGCTTTGGACTTAAAGCAGAATTGAAAGAAAGAAGGGTTTCCAGAATTATGTACTTCTGTGACCCTTGTCTCCAACCTGCGCACCATCTTAGGGGATCCCATGGAGCTACCTTAACTCTTGATGATGCTTAGGAGGGATGGGGCAGAGCAGCTGGAGGGCCAGTGGGCCGTGTGACAGCCTCTCAGCGCAGCTGGAGTGCCCTCTAGCGGTGAAGCGGGTAATGACCACGAGCCTTGACTCAAAATGCTTTTTTTTTTTGGATAGCTGTAATTCCTGAGCTGGCTGTGGGCCGTTATAACACAGTGTTGAGCCCCCACGTAGATTCTTTCCTTTGAATCTCTTAACAACCCTATGAAGTGGGAGGTATTGTCCCCAGTGTTCAGATGAGAAAATCAAGGCCCAGAGAGGGGAAGTGATTTACCTGAGCCCCTACCACTCAGCTTCCTGGCTTCATCATGTCTCCTTTTCTTAACCCTGTCCTTCAGAGAGTACACGTCAGGCTAAGGGGACAAGAGGGACACATACGCAGGAAACTGAAGGCTGCAGAGTTGGTAGGGCAGGGGATGGAGAGGCAGATGAAAGGACCTTGATCTGGACCTTTAAAAACAGGTAGCATGAGAGTGATATAGATATTTGCAAGGGAGGGGGAGGGTATAGAACAAGTGGTAGAGCGTATGCTTAGCATACAGAAAGTGCTGGGTTCAGTCCCCAGTACTGCTTCCAAAAATAAACAAACCTTATTACCCCCCCCAAAAAAAGCTTAAAAAAAAAGTAAATGGATATTTGCAAGGAGGTGATGGACCGACCTCAGCTTGGTCTGAACCCATACCTCTGTGAGGCACCAAGAGGCAGTGTATATAGTAAACAAATTATACACTCAGAGCATTTATTTTCTGTGGGGAACTATTCAGAAGAGAACAGGAGCCCAGATGGTAGGTTGCGTTATCCCCATTTTATACATAGGAAAACTGAGGCCAGAGAGGTTAAATAACTTGCCTGTGGTCATAGAGAGCCAGTGGTAGAGTCCAGGTCTTTAACCTCCCATGTTATCTCCATATAGTACATGCCATCCCCTCAGAGTTATGCCTGTCACCCAGTCAGTGCAATAAATGCGTTGGCTGCATTGGCTGTGGATCCCATTTTTAATTTACAGGCAGACACAAGTCCCACCTTCAAAGAATTCTCAACCTGGGGAGGGGAGAGGAGGAGGAATTGTAAACCAGCCCCTTGTAAAAAATAACATTTAGAAATTATGAAGTAAAAAATGTTTTTTGTAGAAAAGTTAGAAACTATAAATTAGAAAAAGTTTACTGCTCATAAGCACCCCCTGGGATAGGTAAGTCCAGGTTATTTCTCAAGCGCTTGCTGTGTGCCAGGCACTGTGCTAAGCAGGTAACATACACTGCCTGGTGGTCGCAGGAGGCCCACCTAGCCGGGGTTTCATTCTGAATCTGATGTTTGTCTCACCTGCACTCTTCAGTCCCCAGGGACCACCCATCACTGTGGACTCTGGCAGGACCATAATTGCAGAGGTCCCAGAGCTCAGGCTCAGTGTGCAGAGGGAATAAATGCTAACCCCTGGGGGGATCAGAAAGAGTGGGGAATCCTGCAAGCTCCCACAGGGATGAACCTGCAAAAAGCCCTTCTTGCCCGGCCAAGGAAAGGCTGGCTTTCCCCTGCCTTTGTCTGGGAAAGGGTGTGAGGGAACCAGCCCCTGGCTCCACTGCCTCGGAGCAGGAGAAGCTGGCAGCTCTGGCACAGGGCAGGTTGGGCCCATGTGTGCCACCACCTAGTGGCTGGAGGGATTGTTAAGCCATCCCAGGAGACTTCCCCCCTTCCCCAGCATGGCTGGGAGGACCATGTGGCAATAAAGTGTGCCTCTCCCACATTCTAAATGACATCCTCACTTATTCAGCACTTAAATCCGCAAACGCCTCTTCTGGGGCTGTGGTCTTGTCTGAGAGGTGTACAGGCTGCATTCCAGGTACTGGCTAATCGTCCAGCACTGTGGGAATGGGAGGTAGAGCGACCCCTAAACCACAGATCCCACTTTTGGGGAGCTCACAGACACCTAGGGAATGTGGCCCTCCTTTCAGCCACTGCTTTCTCCCTCCTTGGATAGAGGCAGTCACTGCCTAACGGTCTCCCTTCCTCACCAGGACCCGGGGTGTCTGTACAGAACATAGACGGGTCATCCACCTCTGACCTCGGTCCAACCTTTGCTTTCAGTCCCTTAGCCACTCCATCCTCTTATTGCTGGGCTCTCTCTGCCTCCACTATTTGTCTTAGCACTGGCCCTTCAGCAGGCCTTCTGGGCCTCCACAGCCACCTGGGTCATAGTTGAGCTCAGGAAGGACAAGAGTTTTCTCTTACTTAGGCTTCATCCTCCAAGACTGGGGCCCGGGCCCCCAGTCTGTGCTCCTCCAGACCCCGTACTTCCTCTGTTGCACTGAGTCACCCTTTGTGCTAATTGCCTGTTCCTTGTCTTCTCCGTGGAGTGCAGCCCCCTGGAAGTAGAAGCTGTGTGTGTTCCTAGCAGCCCCAGGCAGCTGGCACGTGACTCATTAGAACTTTCTTAGTGAAGGAAGGACTGGCCGTGGAGGATTGCTTATATGATCTGTGAGTCTCTTGCCCTGGACCTGGGGCCTCTGAGGGCCCTGCCACACACCCTGCATCTTCCAGCAGGCAGCTGGTGAGCCGCTGCAGAGTCCAGAGACTTTACAGATTTCACACCTGGGAGTTAGCATAGCTGGGCCCGGGAACCTGGGACAGCATCCCTTGCTCCCCACAGACTTCTGCTCAGCCATCCTGCCCCCGGGCCACCCTGGCACAGAGAATGAAGTGGCAGATCCCACCTCTTGGTCCATCTCCACCAAGCCCATGTCTACTGGGGTGGATGCCAACCAGGCTTTAGGTGCTGGCTTTGGAATCTGTTGGCACTGATTTGCTCAGACCCAGGCCCTGAGCCAGACCTTGGGCAGACTGATGAATCAGACCTAGGAAGGGAAGTGCAAGGGGCTGGGAGCATAGAAGAGGGGCCAAGGGTCCGCCCAGAGCTGATGATGAGCTGAGGAGATACGTCTGAGCTGGAGGGGCAGCCTGTTCAAAGGCAGAGAAAGAGCACAGGGCATTTGCAAACAGGTTCGTGGGGTGGAGCAGGGAGGGACCTCCCTCTCCTTTCTGGCACCAATCATTGGTCCATGGAGTGCCAGGCTGGGATCTTTCTCGGAGTAGGGTTGGTCAGCGTCCTGGTTATTGACATTCTTCTGTGTCTGCAAGGGCAGCCCCCCACTGGTCTGCCCCCAGGGCCCACAGCCAAGCTTCCAACTTAGTTGTCTTGGAGTTGGGCCTGGATGAGAGCCTGACTTGCCCTCCATCCCTACACTCCTGAATCAGTTTCCTTTTATCGCTAAGAGGGGGTCGTGAGCACTACTGATTTCTGTTATGTGCTGTCAGGATGGCTTCATGAAACCATACTTGGGGGTGGCTGGCGGGCGCAGGGGTGTGCGTGCGGGGTCAGCGGGCAGCCGAGCCCGCACCCACGGCCTCCCTCTGTCCCGCAGGCGCGGGCCCAGGCAGAGGCCCTCCGCATCAGTGATGTCCATTTCTCCGTCAAGCCGAGCGCCAGCGCCTCCTCGCCCAAGCTGCATTCCAGCGCTGCCGTGCACCGGCTCAAGAAGGACATCCGCCGCTGCCACCGCATGTCCCGCCGCCCCCTCCCCCGCCCAGACCCCCAGGGGGGCAGCCCCGGCCTGCGCCCGCCCATCTCACCCTTCTCCGAGACCGTGCGTATCATCAATCGCAAGGTCAAGCCGCGGGAGCCCAAGCGGAACCGCATCATCCTGAACCTGAAGGTGATCGACAAGGGCGCGGGCGGAGGCGGCGCTGGGCAGGGGGCCGGGGCCCTTGCTCGCCCCAAAGTCCCCTCGCGGAACCGCGTCATCGGCAAGAGCAAGAAGTTCAGCGAGAGTATCCTGCGCACCCAGATCCGCCACGTGAAGTTCGGCGCCTTCGCGCTGTACAATAAGCCGCCGCCGCCGGGCCCTCTGCCGCTCCCGCCAGCCGGCAAGGCCGACATCTCCGCGTCCCCCGGCCCGGGGCTGCTGCTGGCGGCCCCCAGCGCCCCCTTCGACGCCCGCAGCTCCAGCTCCTCCGGCTGCCCCTCACCAGCCCCGCAGTCCTCCTCCGACCCGGATGATGCGCCCCCCAAGCTGCTACCCGAGACCACCAACCCATCTGCTCCCGATTGGCGGGAGCCCGAGGTACTTGACCTGTCCATCTCTCCGGAGGCTGCAGCCACCAGTAAGCGGGCGCCTCCCGATGGCACTGTGGCTGCCAGCCAGGCCCTTCCCGCCGCCCCTGAGCCTGCCGGTGCTGCCTCCGAGCCCGAGGCTGGGGACTGGCGCCCTGAGATGTCACCTTGTTCCAACGTGGTCGTCACTGATGTCACCAGCAACCTCCTGACGGTTACTATCAAGGAATTCTGCAACCCTGAGGATTTCGAGAAGGTGGCTGCTGGGGTAGCAGGCGCTGCAGCGGTGGGTGGCAGCAGTGGGGTGAGCAAGTGAGGGGGCTCCACTAAGGAGGGGGGCTTGGGGGGGCCCTCCTGCCCAAAGTCATACTCTTGCTCCCGCCCCTGCCCCCAACTCAGACAACCCTGCCTGTGCTTTGCTTGTTTCGAATGGCTCGGTGTTGACCCCGGGATGGGGCTGGGGGCTGAAGCCCAATGGGAGGGGCAGTCCTAGAAAGGGTTGGGGCTAGGGTGGGGCCAGGGCACTGGGAAGTCCTCCTTCTTGTCTCTAGGCACCCTCCCTGCCCATGCACAGTGGGGCCTGCTGTGTGGCTCCTGGGGAGCCCCAGAACCTGGGGTTCAGCTGCCCCCTCCACATCCCACCCTGTCTCCCCAGCTTGCTTCCAGCTCTCGCACACAGCATCTGATTTCTCGGTGCTAACCCGGCAGCTGCGGGGCCCCTTAGAGGACCCCATTCTAGCATGGGCACCGTCCCTCTCCTTCCTCCAGATGCCTGGGCAGGAGGGGCAGGGATGGGAAACCAGACAGAGGCTGAGGTGAAGCCGGCCTTGGCCCCTTCCCCTACATCAACAAGGGCCCACTTTTGGGCAAGACCCAATCAGGCCCCCTTGGGTCCCACCCACCCACCTCTTTCCCTCTGGAAGGTCGGAGGAATTGGCATGGACCTCACCTGCCGCAGCCTCCCAGCATCTAAAGGCCCTTCAGTTCTTGACCAAAGGTGCTACCACAACCTGGTGCGCAGACTTTCGACTGCGTGTGCGTCTGCTGCCCTTGGCGCATCTGCGTGTGTCCGTGTGTGCGTTGGGCACTGGGCCCAGGCTCTCCAGGCTGCGCCCTTTAGGGTTCTTTAGGATAGGGTCGTCAAATTGAAGGCCTGGACCTTCCTTTGCCATCGGCGAGGCCTGGGACCTGGCCCAGGTCGGAGGAGTTTGCTGTGGACGCTGACCCTCCTGGGCCGTGTGTGCAGGGGGTGCGTGCCCCATGCCCTTCCCCTGTGGGGTGGTCAGCCCACCCTGTCGGGTCTTGGCTACAAATGCGGCATGGTGGGGCCTAAGGCAGAGGGGAGACCCCCATCACAAGCTTCACCTTCTTCCTGGGTGTTAGGGGGGGAGGAGGGAGCCTGGACATCGTTCAGTGGGTCTCTGGTTTCTCCAGCCCCCTGTCTCTTGCTTCTGACCGCCAAGGCTTTCTCACAGCCCGGCCTGCTCGAAGCAGAGGGAGGCCTCGTGCCCCGGGCAGCTTCTCTTTCCCACTGCTGCCAGGTAGCTGAGGTGTCCATGGCAGTGGCAGAGACCAAAGCCCCAGTTTTAGGCTGGGCACTGGAAGGGTAGGCAGGCCAAAAGGGGGACGGAAGACGGGGCCTGTGTCCTTCAGGAGGGCAACTGTGTGTGGGACCAGGGGCCTGGTGCACAGGGGAGGCAGCCCTGCCAGCCAGCCCTGGGACTCTGCCCGGGCTCAGTTTGGCATGAGTGGCAGGTCTTTGCTGGAGCTGGCTTCCTGGTGTCTCAGCTCAGAACGCTGATGGCAAAAGGAGGGGGCAGAAAGGGAATTCAATTCGGTAACAAACGCCTTGGTCCTAAGCATGGGAGAACTCTTTCTTCTGAATCTCTCTGCCAGGGGCCACGGCAAGGCCCCGTCCCTCCCCACCCTAGGATGGAGGACAAGGGCCCTCACAGGGTTTGGGGGGCTGGCACTCCTGGACCCCTCCCCACCCTGCCCTTTGTGTTGGCTCTGTGGCCGTCCAAGTGCCAATTGGCTTTCCCCCAAATAAGGGCTGGTATTTCTCCTCTGTCCTTAGAGGTGATTTCCCCCCGACCCCTACCCCAGGTGAGCATCCACCTGGGTGCCAGTTACAGGTGTTTCCAGAGACCATAGAAATGTGTTTTCCTGAGAGTCCATGTCATTCGTGACCTTTTTGTAAAGAAGTTGTGTTTTCAGAGGTGATTTTATGACAGGAAAGTGAAAGAGTTAGTTTTGCAAAAAACAGAAAAAACAAAAAAAGAGGAAAAAAAGAAAAAAGAAATAGAAAAAAATATTGTGGGATTCCTATGGGTTTGGGGGGGTGGGGAGAAAGATATTTAAAGAAAAACTAGTAACGCAGTGATTGCACAGGTGAGGCGGCAATGTTGTTAGGACGTGGCTAGAGGCCCAGGCCCAGCTGGGAGGGCCCAGGGGTGAAGGCAGCTGCCCTCCTTCCTTGCTGGGCCCAGATTCCACATCTGTTTTCGCTCAAAGGGAAGGATGACCCCTCATCCCAAGGGAACTTGCCAGAAGCTGCAGGAGCTGGGCAGACAGCGCTGAGATTTGGGGAGGTTGGGGTCCACAGGAGTCCTACTGTAGCTGGGACCCATCATTGGTGACTTTCTGCAGGAAGGCTGGTGAGCAGGTGCAGTTGGGTTCCTTGCCCTTTGCCAGCCTATTGGGCCATCTGGTCCCTCCACGGCCACCCCATGAGGGAATCTCCCCATCACCCCGAAGACCATGACACCCCTGAGCTTCCCTAGCCAGGTGGGGGATGCAGGCTTCAGGAAGACAGGGCTGTGGACTCTGGGAGAATCTTCGGTGGTGATCATAGGGGGCTGGGGGTAACCGCAGGGAGAGGGAGTGCCCACACGTTCTGTTTCCACAGGCGGGTCGCTGCCCTTGACTCCCAGGTGGGCAGCTCCCCTGGGGGGCCTGAGTGGGCACCAGGTCAAGAGCAAGCGGAGCCCGCCTTACCTCTCTCCCAGGGTGGCTCTGAACGGGGTCCCACAGCCCCCACCCCCCAACTCTTGCACAGATCAGCCTCCCATGGGCCCTTCCTCCCCCATTGCTGCTTTTCCGTTTGCCTAATTACCAAGCAGAAGTTGCAGTCTGGTTTGCTTTATTTTTATATGTGAAATATCCCCTCAAAGCCTAATCTTTCCCCATGTTGAATATTGGTTGAGGTCATCCCCCCTTAGTGCCACCCTCTCCCCACCCCCACGTCATAGGAAACAGATGAGGTCTGGTGTCTCTAGCTTGAGATGGGAAGTTGGGACCCCTTCTGGTCTCGTTCCCCTCTCGGATCTTCAGTTTGCCCTTCTGTGAAATGGGTGTATTGGGCGTCAAGGCCTTTTCATAGAGCGCTGCTTGTGTCCAGGCAGCTGCTGAAGATTAGGTGGTGGTTGAGGTTGCTGGCACTGGGGCCTCCAACCTCCCACAGCCCCCTTTCATTCTCACCCTGCAAAATGGTCATGGTCAGAATGGGCTGAGCCCTCTCTGCTCCAAAAATAGGTGATGATCAAGTCCCCAACCTCAGTGTGAGGCAGGCAGAGTGGGAGGGGTCACCCTACTTAAAAGACCAAGAAGCGGGCTCTGAGAGGCCAAACCGCTTCCCTGGAGTGAAGAGCCCAGCTGCTCTGGCCTTTGGAGGAAAACCTCTTGGGGGGTGGGGGCAGAAGCCCCTGCAAAGCCTGGGGCATACCCCTGAGCCAGGTGGCTCTGGGCAAGCGGTCAGCCCAGTGGAGGAAACCGTTAGCTCGGGGAGCTGGGCTGCCACCAGCCTTTCTAGCCTCTGGGGGGACCCAAGTGGACACACCGTCTTTCCTACCTTTGGGGATTTATGTTGGTTTTTCCGGTGTGTTTTGTTTTGTTTTGTTTTGTTTTTGCACTTGGCCCACGCAGGACAGTGGAGCCCGCCTGGTCACTCCCACTTTCGGGCTCCCATGCACTAGCCCAAGGCAGCCTCTTGGGGGCTTGTATGGTTTAAGGAATCACTTTTGAAAAAAGAAAAAAAAAAGGAAAGCGTTTAAAGGTTTTCGTTGTTTTCTCTGTCTGCATCTCCTCTCAGATTCAGAAAGCCCAGAATCAGGAGCGAAAGCTCCAGGAGAGGGTCTTCCCAGCCTGACCCCATCTTCCTGACAGTCCACGAGATGCCAGAATAGGGGGACAGGCTGGGTGGGGACTGAGGACCCTGCCTCCCAGGCCTCCCTCTCCCCGCCTTGAAGGACTCAGCATCCTACTCCAACAGTGAGTGAGCGCCTACTGTATGCAGAGCTTCGGCTAAGCCAAGGGGAGTTGGTGGTCTAACAAGAGACCCCTTGCAAGAGGCCAAGCTAGAGGGAACCAGGGGTTCTGGGGCCTGCCCCTGCTGTTGGGCAGAGTAGAGATGGAGACTTCTTGTTGTTGGTTTTAATTTAAAAACACAAAGGCCTAAAGAAATGTATCTTATAATTTTTTTAATTTTTTAAAAGCTCATTTAATGAATTGTGCACGAATGAATTCTATATATATAAAATATACATATATAGCTCTATATTTGGGGAGGGGCGCTGTCTCTTTTTTTCTCTCTCTCATTTTAAAAATGAAGTGTTGTTGCCTTTGTCTGTGGTTCAACCATCCAGCTCCCAGCTGGCTAAACTTTGCCTCCAGTGGTTCAAGACAGGAAACTAGTAGGATAAGCAGGAGTCCAGAAACGGAGATGCCACCCCAGGGTGGGGCCGGGTTCTGGTCCACCTGCCTGGCTCCCAGAGGCTGTGGGTGGCGAAGACAGCTTGTGTTGTCGGGTGTGGGTTTTGGTTCTGTTCTGGATTTGGTTGTTTCTGGGCCGGGGGTGGGGGGTCTGTGCTGATTACTCTCGTCTTGTACGTTTTGTTCTGCTGCTCTTCAATATTGTATCAATGCCAGGAAGGGGGCGTGAAAAGCCTCTTTTGCCCCCCAAATAAATTGTCACATTCCGAAGCTAATGTCTAGCCCCCGGGTCTGTCTCATTTCTTCCGGCCAGGACGACTATCTTTAGAAAGCATCGGGCCCTGCCCTTCCCGGTGTAATGAGGATGGGGGCTGCGGCTGCCCAGCTCCCGGGCCCGTTTCTGAGCTCCCCACCTCCCACACCGCCTCCACCTCGCACCCATGCAAGTGAGCTGCACTTGAGGGGAGCTCCCTACACAGCTAGACCAAGGTGCTTGCCACTTCTTAGAACCTGGAGCCTACCTGGTAGGTGGGCATGTGGGAGGGGCGGGGGTCCCTCAACGCAGCACCCACGGAGAGCGGGGCCCTGGGGGCTGGGTCCCTAACAAGCCAGTCATCACAGAGCCTAGGAGGGAGCAGTCTGGGTGGGGGCACTGGCTCCCCCTGCCAGTCGTTCCACAGTTGGGCACAGCATTTTTTGCTAACAAGGAGCTGCTTCAGTTCCCAGAAACATTTGTTTTCTGGGTGCTTGTGCGCCTTCTCTCATCAGACGAGCAGCCTCGAGGAGCAGGTAGGATGCCCGCAGGGGTCCAAAAGCGGCCGCCCTGGGTAAACTGTATCTTCCTCAAGGGCCCGCCGCTCATCCCACAAGCTGCACCTCCGTACCTCCATGGCCGCCTGTTTGCCAGTCCTCCCCCTCCTCACCACCCCCGCCCTCTTGTGAAACCCCTAGGTCTTGCCTTGCCAATGTCTCCCCACCCTGCACCCCTCGACCCCGCCAGTCCTGATCCCGTCTCCTTTTGCAAAACATCCCTGATTGCAGGCTCCATCCTTCCTGCACCTCCCCCACCTCTTCCGCAGGAGTGTCACAGGGGCCTGGCAGCCCTGCCCCCGCCTGCAAGGAGCCCACTGCCCTCAGGGTTGTGTCCCAAGTTCTCCTGCCCCAACATACGCTCCCCAGGTGTGCTCTGCCACCTGAGCGCCCTCTCTGGCACTGGCCTGTGGTCTTGGCCCTCCTGCCCCTAGAGGTGGACCAGCTCGGTTCCTGACACATGGTGGACCCTTGATTCACCTCCCTGTCACCAAGCTCGGTCCTTTTCCCTCACTAACACAGTCAGTGAGGCTTGGTCGTGGCTGAGCGGTAAACCTGGGGCCCCAGTGCGACCCATCCAGCTGGCCCTGGGCACTGGCCCTGGGTCAGCAGGTCAAACGGGAGTGTGTCCCTGTCTGCAGCTGGTCATGGATACAGAAGCCAGGCAGGGAAGTGAGAAGGTGGGGAGAGGGGTGAAATCCATGGTTGAGGTCAGGGCTGGCTTCTGTGGCACCAACTCCATGGCACCCCACCTTGTCATCTAGCCGGCTCAGTGTTCTGTTCTCCCAGAATCCTCATTTGGTACTTACTTAAACGTCATGAGTTGTCAGCACACTTACTGCACGTCGAGCACCAGTGAGCCCCCTCTGTCCCCTCTCGCACCCCAGCCACCCTACCCAGTGCCCAGGAATGAGCCACTATCACGGGGGAGGGGCCGGGAGCGACACAGTGGAGTAGGGCTTCTGTCCAGCACATCTCTGCGCCTCCCCCATCTCTTTGGGACTGAGAAACGGGGGCTGCTCTTGTGAGGTGGGTGTGTTCAGAGACTGGCGTCACGACTGTCCCTTATCACAAGTCCTGCATGCCATCTCTCAGCAGCTACGCCTGCTTACTAGTTGTGGGTGAATGAGTGTGACATGGCAGCTTAAGGAAGATCAGTGGGTTTGTGAAGAGGGCCACGCAAGACCACATGACTCAGCCCAGGGAGTCTGCCGCCCCGTCTGAAGTGAGTCCAGGCGCCGTACACACAGCCGCTGCTCGTGTCACAGGCTGGTCTGCCAGGTGGTGCCTGACCCAGCCCGACCCCTCACCTCCCCTGTTCCTGGGCCTCACCAGGGGCATGTGTCAGCCATGGGGTGAAGCTCAGGATTTGGGGCAAAGCAAGGAGTAGGGGTTGAGATGGGGTGAGAATGACAATTTTGCAAAATTATGCAGTTGTTTTTTAGAAGCTGAAAAGTGTAATTTTTTTTTTTGGTCTTTTTTGAGCTGTACCAGAATTGAAGAGGGGGTCAGGGTGGCAGCATCCAAACAGCGAGCCCCCTTAAGCCAGATTACAGGCCTGTGTGCCCATCTGCACCCTCTTTGTTCAGGCTGTTGGCTTCAGAGAGTTCACACTTCACAAAGGCCCCTGACTGGGAGAGGCTGAGCACAAAGACAGCTCACCCACAGGGCGAGGCCTTAAAGGGAGCAGCAGGTGAGTGTCCATGCACTCTGAGCATCAGTCAGAGGAGGGACAAAGGCCATGACTTGAAATCACCCCATGAACTATAATGAGGCCTGGATGTGGCTGAGGCGACAGGGTTGACAGGAAGTGGCCAGAAAGATTAGACTTTTGTAAATTTGGGGGTTGGCTTTGAGTGCTTGTGAGAGGGACCCTCTGAAAACCTTCTGGGTGTCTAGTGTAGGCAAAGGAATGGGTGTTGGTGCCACTTATGGGCTGGGGAACCAGCAGAGGAGTCAGACTGGTAGGGAGGTGAATGCAATCTGGGACACACCTTGGGTGTGAATCAGGCAGAGGGTCCAGGAGGAATTTTCACCCACAGATTTGAGGTTCAGAGGGAGTTCCTGTCCTCTCAGGCACTCCTGGAGAAATATACCCCTTGGCTGAAGAGTCTTTGCCCGTTCGGTGCACCTCACCTCTGAGATGACTGGTCACCAGACATCCTAGAAGGACCACTAGGGACTTAGGTGCTTAACTGCAGAGGCCACCGGGATATCCAGCCCCTGCCTGCCACCTCCACCCTCCCCATTTCATGCCTTTCACTGGGATAAGGTTATGAGGCAGGTGGCTACAGGTCGATGAACCCCACCAGACAGGTGAGGAGGTGGGGCAGGGGTACTTCCCAGGGTCACTCAGAAGCCAAAGAGTGGAACCCAGGTCTCGGGCATGGTGGGTGGAAGCTTCTGAAGAGCCAGCTGCTATACGATGCTTGAAGGTACCAAAGAAAATGTAACATTCTTTTAAATACTCAACTGAGCTTCCAAGATAGTAAAGAAATCCCCAGGGACCAAAAACAAATAAAGAGGAAGCCAAAATCAGGGTGACAAGCAGATGCCGATCCTTCAGCTGTCTTGCAGGCAGGGTCTGTGGGTGGCCCGGGGACAGTAGTAGGGAGGTGTTGGCCTTGGCTGATCTTGGTAACCAAGAAGGTTGGATTTTACATCTCTATAGGGATGGGAGACAAGGCCTTGGGTCACTGCCAAGAGAGATTTGGAACCAAAACACCTGAATAAAGCTGGGCCCACATCCTCAGTGAAAGAGCAAACAAGGAGAAAAAAAAAATCATCCTTTTGCAAAAAGCAGAAGAAGTTGTCAAAGAAGTTGGCTCATTTTTGGCTCTGTTAGAAAAATTAAAATGAAGTCTCACTTGAGAAACTGTAACTCTAGATCTTCTCTCATACAAATTTGAGGTTTGAATTTGCTTTGTCTATGTGGTTCCAGAACTCCTAAGTCTGAAAATTAATATAAAAAGCAAACCTGGGGTGTGTTACACCCACAGAGCAGGTGGCAGTAGCAAATTCCCTCTCTGGAGGGACATTCCCACAGTAAAGGCCACGTGGCATACTCACAGATAAAACCCTTGTTAACGTGAGTTTGCAATCCAAAATTACAAAGCATACAAAGACACAAGCCACAAAAGAGCCGAATAACAAGCGGCATATGTAGACTTCTGTGCCTGATGTGTTATTTTCAAGCACACATTGAAGATTTCCAGAAGTGATCATGTATCTCATACAGCAGGACATAAATCCCAATACATTTCAAGAAATGGGTATCACAGATCATGTATAAGTTAAAAATCAATACAAAAATATAACTAAAAGACAAAACTTCATATATTTGGACAGTAACCCAGATTTCTCATTCCCGTACGTCTTGCTCCCTCCCCAAACTTCTGAAATCTCTTTAGAACAATGAGATTCCAGGATGGATATGAAAATGCTAATAGGCAGCAGACACACAGGAGGTGCACAGCCAGTCTGAGCTGAAACTAGATGGGAACAGGTCCCCCTCTGGTCTCTAGATGGGATGTGATCATTAGAGGAAAAGACCAAAGTCTTCTCTGTCTTTTCCAAAGGATGAGCTCAGCATGTGAAGAAGACATGAGCCTGAATTTAAATGACATCCACCAGCCATCAGCCTTTATGAGCCAGAGGGTCTAGGAAACATCCACAGGGGGAGCTGATGGGAAATGGGCCAGAGCAGGTGGCAGGGGTCCTCAGTGCTGTGGCATAAGGACAAGCCCCCTGCCAGTGAGCTACATGCTCTTTTGGGGTGGGTTTGGAGGTCCCTAGGGGTTCTCTGTTGAGGTTCAGATACTCCAATCTGTGAGCAAGGAACTAGGACACACTTTGGAAAAGGCACATGTGGGCTCTGTCCCCCATGGGCTCTCATTAAAGTGATCATCATCTCACTGGCTCCCTGGGCAATCCCTGCAGGTATCACAGCCCGGCTTCCATGCAGCAGCGTCCTAATGGAGGCTTGCTGTAGTTACCATCCCTGACCCCAGCCCGTGCTCATCCCTCTGCCTGCCTTTCACAACTCACGCACCATAAAGAGACCCTTGTCCAGGTTCAGGTGGCCAGGTCACTTCCCCTCTCCAGGCCTCAGTGCTCCTCAGCAGTAAAAGAGGCCAGGACTCCCTCCTTGGCATAGTTACTCAGGAGGACTGAACACGGTAGGTGTGAAAGGGTTCAGTTCAAGCACCATGTGAGTAAGAATAGATCTTCCAGATCTATGTAGCCAAAGTTGACCACTCCTTTGACTTCCTATCCCGGTGTTCCAGCTGTCTTCTCATCAATTCTGGATGCCTGCCTTCCATGTAACAGCTTGAGAGAAAAACAGTGGACGAGTCTGAGCTCTGCCAGCTGTCAGGATGGTCACTCACCCTCTCTGGGCCTCTGTAACCTCTTCTGTCAAATGGAGAAGAGGGCGTCCTCTGATTATCTTTTCCAACTCAGAATTACTCTA